CAGCCTGGTGTACCAGTGAACATTAAGAGATCTGTCCATGTCATGTATTACATACTTGGAACATTTTTTGCGTGTTATTTCCCGGCAATTTGTTTTTGGATTATCAAAACCTTTGCGGATAAAAGTTGCGACTTCGCCGAGCACATATCTAATACAATCCTCTTGTTAAACAGCACCATCAATCCAATCATATATTTCTTGAGAATACAGGACATGCGAAATGCTGCTCTTCAGTTGTTGCGATTTTTTACAAGAAAGAACAATAACAATGATAATGGCAGTGGTAAAAGTAATGACAATGACAACAACGGCAAAGAAGCTAATAGTGGTACAAATTGTAATATTTAGTCGATAAAAGCTAGGGCGTCCAATTAACAAAAGTCGATCCTTACAGGTCCTAATGTAAGGCTGATCACAGATACCAAATACAAAGCTAGATTAGCGTTAATCCAGGGTAACTCCATAGGTTTTCTATAAGAGTTACATGTAACTCAGGATTAGCGCTAATCGGGCTTTGAACAACCCAGTCATTGTATTCACATCGGACCACAAAGTCAGTACCATTTTAGTACCACTTGAGCTCATGTATCTATACATACAATAGAATGAGACTCAAAATAAACTTAAGATGTACTCGTGTGTACTTTGTGGGGTCCTGTACAATCTTCACTAACTGAAAATCATTTTCATTATTATGTACTAATGGAATGCTTGCATGGAAACTTTCTTGAGCTGATGGCTTGAAAATATTTTCTAAGATATGATAAAAAAACAATTCGCATTGTTGTAAATATAGAAGATGAATTCTTTTACTAATATGTAATTATGAAGCTTTTTTCTCAAGAATGCGTAAGCAGAATCGATTTGCATTGCTACCCAGCCTCATATGGACACTCAAGATAATTTCAATATTCTTCAACACGAGTAATGGGCTCCTCTCTTCACTTGGTTTTTTGGTATAAGATTAATGAGACTGATAGATATTATCACTCTCTGAATCTATATTGTTTTCTTTTGCTCTTTACCAACAAATACTGTGACTAAAAAAAGCCGTTTTCATTGGACGGTCAAATGCAAACGACTTTACAGCCGGCAGTAAGCAGGTGATTTGTTCGTGTCATACTAATTCAGTGCTTCGAACTTCTTTAAATAAGTAGCAATGTGTTATAAAATTATTTCAGAACGGCTTGAAAGGTTCAAGATGTAATTACATGCATTCTAAATGAATATGACGATGCCATAGATTGTAAGATTTATACCCCATCATACACGATAGAATCAGAAGTACGCTTTAAAGGTTGTAATTTGATGTAAATATGATGTAATCAAATTTACAGAATTTTGGACACTTTACATCAAATTTACATTTACATCAAATTTACAACTTTTAAAGCGCGCGATTTTTTCCAGTGACACATCATACTATTAGATGAGAAGAAAAAGAAACGTCAGTTGTTGGAAATTTTCTTTTCTTTTCTGTTTTGCAATATTGCACAGGAATTTCGTAAATTGAAATTTACGACCCAGCCTCATCGCCCCTCAGGATGAT